TATCTGGTTTATAATAAATAAAATATTTAATTAATTATAATACCATTAATTAGTAATATTATAGTCAGTATTTTATTTACTTTTACAAGTAATTAATAAAACTTCTATGTAATAAACCATTTTATTTGATTTTTAATATTCACACAAACCTTAGCCCCGCGTAACGATAGCTGAAGTGCAGTCTCTTTGCCGATCCCAGTGTTAGCGCCGGTAATGACCACAACCTTACCGTCCAGTCGGCGCTCACTCTTACACTTTCGCCTCATATTCATGACATTAGTGCCGAACTCGTAGGCAACCATTCCTACCATAGTTTTAGCATTTTGCATTTTCTCACACATTTTTAAATTAACACTCAATTATAATCATTAGTATTAACAAAATTTTCAAACACATCAATTGTTTTATATAAATGTTTGTTTCGATTCATATTTCTGTATTTATACTATTATTGTTGTGTTAGTTCAATGTTAGTGTACTACAGTATGAACACTGTTTGTTAGATCACCGGTAATTCCCCTGGAAATTAGCCTTGAACATTAGTGTATATGCACCCAATGCCAGCTATTATAATTTAATTAATATGTTTTGAGTATTTTTTAACAAGTAATTAAATTATTTGTTCAAAGCCTATTTTAAAATAATAATATTAAAGTTTTGCTATTATTACAAATAGCAAATCTAGTAAATGATTTTTAAAAATTTTTTAAATTTTATTTGCATTATGTTGTATCATTTTTAATATTAAATTTATTCTTTTTCAATTAAATAATATACAAAATAGTAAATACATTTTTAACTATGTTAATAAGTAAAATAAATTTATTGAATTTAAACAAAAAGTTTGAGTATGATAACTAAAAATAATAGCATAAATAATATTTTGTAAAACACAGAATCCATAAAATCATTTTAAATACTGAAGACAATGAAATGTTGCAAAATATTGTTTAATAAATAGTTTTATACCCTGTGAACTTGAATTTAAATTCTCTGCCCTTCACATAGGTTAACAAACCCATTGATTATTTTAAATGATGAACACCATGATCAAATTGTAAGATGCTCTTCGAGATTAACTAAACCACAACTCAATTCCCACAAACTCTTTGCCATTTTGTCGTCAGTGACCTCCGGTATCATATGATCCACGCGAACACAATTCCTATTAAAAACATTATACAATATTGTTAACAAATTAACCATCAGTTTTACGCATTTAGTTGAACTAAAGTTTAGCTTATAAGGGTTAATTAACACATTAATTATAACAAGAACATTTACTCGTAATAAAATCCCGACTCGTTTGCCAATCCATCTTCGAGAGCGCAGTATAGTGTGGTCTGACAGCCCATGTATGTTGTTATCAGTAATTTACGTTTTAACCATGGTCCATCGTTCGCACCTGTCCCCTCCCGGGGCGCAGACTTGTCAAAGTGCCGGTTCAGGTCTGTGTTCACAACTCCCGGATCGAGGCTATAGGTGTTGATGTTTGAGTGTCGGAGCCTTTTGGCCAATTCACGGCTGAACAACACATTTGCGAGTTTGCTCTGAGCGTACGAGAAAAACGGATGGTATGCACCGTTTCGTAGGTTTATGTTTTGCAAATCTATTTGGCCAAAGTTGTGCAGAGCTGAGGCCACTGTCACTATACGACCCGCCGGTGCTTTCTTTAGCAATGGTATCAAATGGAGTGTAAATAAGAAATGACCTGAAAATTATATTTTTATTTTATCAATTGCAATGGTTAAAATGATCGTGTTTATATTACCTAGGTGATTAGTGCCAATCTGCATCTCAAACCCGTCAACTGTCTGCAACTCTGGGCACCGGACGCCGGCGTTATTGATAAGTATATCGACTTTTGTCTCCAAACCCGACAACTCTTCCACACATTTGCGGACAGATGTGAGTGAAGACAAGTCCAGCGAAAGTAGTTTTATATTTGCCTTTGGATTCAATGATAAGATGTCTTTGACGGCCGCCCCACCTCTCGTCTGGTCCCGACACCCAATGTATACCTTTATGTAATAATTAAAAACATTAAATATATGGTAAAAGATCATAATATTTTTATATATTTTTAATTAAGATCTTGTTTTAATTAGAAACGCTAGGTGTTGTGTCCGTATATACAATTTACTTATACCACAATATATTTACAATATTACAATAATAACTGAAAATCTTAAAAGTATTAAAGTTTACATACCTTGGCTTCTCTGAGTGTGAGCTGATATGCAGTCTCTTTACCGATACCAGTGTTACCGCCGGTCACCACAACTACCTGTCCATTAAGTCTCTTATTACTTATGGCCAGTCGGCGCCGACCCATCAAATTTATCGATAAGTTATAAAACATAACAGAAAATATACGATACAAGTGTATTAATTTCAAGTGATTTAATGCGCCCATTATTTTAGTATATTATTTAATTGAATATAAAATATTTTTAAACTTTATATCAAATCAAAAAAATTTAAACCAATTATTCTGTGTTTAATTGATATTACTTATAATATACTGAATATTACATCGACTGTTTAATAATATTGCAATTTGATTTCTTTTAAACTTGACATTAACGTGCTTATAATAGCATTACATATTTGCACTAAAAGTGCATGTACACTTTAACGGTAAATAAACCTCAAACTAACATTATACTAATACTTGTTAATGTACATGTGTATCCTTGAATTGTAGTGAAGCATTGAATTGCATATGAAAATGATTTATTCATAAAAGGTATTGTTATAAAGGTAGGCATTGTTTAAATGAAAATATTATTTATTTAGTATATCTACCAATTTTGATTAGCACGTAGATCTATTAATTATATAATAATAAAAGTTGTTTATAATATTACAACATTAATAATTAACAATGTGTTTATTAATATAGAATTCTTGATGATAAATAAGAAGTTTTACACTTCGTTTAATAAAGTTTTTGATTTTTTAACTGTTGTGATCAAAATTATTAACTTTTGAAAATGAATTGAGTGCAAAATTTTTGAAATTTTTTAATTTAATTAAAGTTTAGTCAATTTATACTTTTGGTTACATTTAATAAAATTACAATAATATAATGCATAAATATGTGCAAAATAAATAGAAAAATATATTACACATTTACGAGATTCACTGAATTCAATGATAAAGTAGTGCCAAATAAATAATTTTATGCATTCAAATTCTGTATTCATCACCAAGCTCAACTAACCCACAACTCAAATCCCAGAGCTGTTCAGCCACTTTATCATCTTTCGCCTGTTTAACCATACAGTGTTCGCGTTTACAATTACTATAAACAAATTTTATCAGGATTAATTTAACAAATTATCAGAGAGAGAGAGAGAGAGAGAGAGATTAGAAAAGGCTGAGTCGGCCATCGATGACATGAAAGGAGTGAATCCGAGTGCAGACATCACTGCACTTAAGCTCGACTTGTCTTCATTCAAATCCGTTCGTCAGTTCGCCGATGAGCTGAAGGCCAGAGAGTCTGCGGTCGACATACTTATCAATAACGCCGGTATATATAACTGTCCGGAATGGCAAACCGCCGACGGGTTTGAAATGCAGTTCGGGACAAATCATTTAGGTATAAATATTAATTGATAACAATCTTATACATAATAAAACATAAAATATAACGTGTTGGTAATTTTATAAATTAACATCCAGGTCCGTTTTTGTTGACACAAACCCTATTGCCAATGCTAAAGGCGGCACCTGTAGCCCGGATTGTAAATGTAACATCTATGAGATACGCGTTGGGCATGATCCATTTTGACAACATTAACCTCCGCAATGGGGCGTACGACCCATCCATGGCTTACGATCAAAGTAAACTCGCGGTCCTGTTGTGCACCAGAGAGTTGGCCAAACGTATGGGCGCTGACAGTAGTGTCACGTGTTATGCGGTAAATCCCGGCGCGATTAAGACTGATCTGCAGCGCCACTCAAATTATCCCGAATCGGTTATGAATGCGTTGTTTATGACACCAGAAATGGGAGCACAGACTACACTGTATTGCGCTCTCGAAGAGACCATTGATAATGAATCGGGATTTTATTATGAGTCAGTATTACCCTTTTGCTCTCTCTCTCTCTCTCTCTCTCTCTGCCTCGTTTAATCAATTTGTCTACTCGTTTGCAATTACTATAAAAA